ATGGCTAAAAAACGTTAAGTTTTATCATTTTTTTACTAACCGAGTATCCTGACCCTATCGAAGTGGTTCAGACTAGAGATCGAAGCGAGTAAATACACTGTCAAGACGTCACCTTGTAACTCACCTATACCGGTCTTCGGTCTCAAATGCTTCAGCCCATATATAAATTCCACAGTAGTCAAGGGTTGAACCCAAAGATGGACACTTTGACTGGAGTTCCTTTACCATAGACCAAAGCAACCTGATTTGTTTTATCATATTTACATGAAGTTACAACTAACCAATTGTAAATATGTACCATGACAACTGAAATATACATTCGATTATATGTTTGTAAATATTTTATAATTATTGTATCTTCATGGTATCTTCATTGTATCATATTTACCATGAAGATACAATAATTATAAAATATTTACAAACATATAATCGAATGTATATTTCAGTTGTTAAGAAGTAATTATATTTTATGCTGTATAACATTTCTTCCTTTTTATAGGTTAAACAATACATATAAAAGATTTATTTCTAGATAAAACATTGTGATAATTGTTAGCCTCTTTTTCACAAAAAAAGAAGATACAGTGAAACCTCTATAAATTAATAATGTTGGGACTACACCAAAATTTTATTTTTTTATTAATTTAAAGAGATATTAATTTATCGATATACTAACTGAACCAAAAACTCATTTTGATACTATAAAATTATATTAATTTATAGAGATATTTAGTGTATATTAATTTATCGAGTATTAATTTATAGAGGTTCTACTGTAATTGTTAGCCTCTGTTTAACAAATTACAACAGAACCTATTTTGTAAAATACCATTAAAGTTTTGAATTACTACCATTTGATATTCGTAATAATAATTACGGCTGTTTAAGTTGACAAGTTTTATAAAAATGCCTAACTTTAATTATTGCGCACAGAAACGCTCATCTTTAGTTAAGGACTTATAGAACTATTGGGATCTTCGGTTAATAGTAAAAATGAACCAACTAAGTACTCCCTCTGTTTTAATATAAGTGTCATTCTACAGCTATGCACACGGATTAAGGAAACAATTAATTTTACATATTTCCTATATAAAAACATAATTACCCATACACCTAACCATATTTTAACCAATAGAAAAACAAATTACATAATAAAATTAATAAATTTTGCATTGAAAACTGAAAACGACACTTATTTTGTAACACAAAAAATTCTTTACAATGACACTTAATATAAAACGGAGGGAGTATTAAATAAAGAAAGTTGACAAATTGATATTGTGCTTTTAGTAGACAAGCATATCTTGGAGAATCATCTGGATGTTGCGTGGTTATTCATCAAAGCACTAAGCAGTTGAATTATTTTACTGTTAACTGTTTAATCTCTTAAGATATTTGTTAATATTAGTAACCTCTAAAAGTAAATAGTCATATGGCATTATTTTACTGTACGAATGTTAAGAGTTTAATATATTACAGAACAAGAAAGACTGTTACTGTAAGAATTTTAATAGTTTTATTACAGAACAAGAAAAACTCGGAGTTATGATAAAACAATGTACGCATATGAATGTAATTTTCGTTTGAAGGATTTAGCTTGATGCAGTTCTACGAGGATTTACATATCATTGATCATTAATCCTGATCTCGATTTGTTTTAAAGTACAATTCGGCTGAGGAAGCCGGACAAAAAGAACTTTAGATATGACTGTAGAGTCCTAATTATAATCTAGGAAAATAAGTTTAAGCGATAATTATGGTCTTAATGTTTCAAACATTTTCAACCAATCAGAACATCCAACCTAAATTGCAAACTAATAGTTCCAATAGGGATTAATTGTTTATGAGCAAGTTGAATGTATACTATTTGCTGTAGATTGTTCGTCGAGTAGTGTGTGTCGTCATACTCCGAAATTATGATGCTTTGCTTTTTGAAAAGTTTTTACGTACAAGAGATCAAAGTGTATGCTTAATTATTAACTAACAAATAACACATTCGTTGCTTTGTTAATTACAACTTGCAAATTTTGTATCCATTTAAGTCATTTAGTGAACATTCATTTTGGCCACAACATACACTCCTTTTCATTTGAAAATATCATACTATTCCATTAGAATCTTGATTATATTCCAATGTGCATCTCATATACCTTTCCTTTAATTAATAAACCATTCAATAGCTGTTCCATTATGTTTATATATATATCTTCTAGTGGTCAAGTAATGACATAAAATTATGTCAAAATAATTTTGCGCTAAGAGCATGGTTAACCCGAGATTTTTAGGATGAAGTTCTTAGTGAAAATTAATAAACTGTTTCTTAATTTTTAACGAAAAAACTAAGAACCAATTATTAAATAAGGAATTTAAAAACCGATTCTTAGCGTTTTTAGTTAAAAATTAAGAAACAATTTTTTAATATTATTTGAGAAGTTTCACCTTAAGAACTCTGGATTAATATCATGGTCTAAAGGTATCATTAATCAATAGTACTAATATTTTATAATAGCATATATCTCTATAATATTATTTGAGAAGTTTCAGTTTCTTATGTGCCGCGCTCACGTTAACTCTCAGAATGGTTGATTACATTGATACCCTTAACGAATTTAAAATATTACATTTAAATACTATTATTATTTTTTTCTTTAGTTTCCTTTTTGAATCTTTCCAAATAACATATATAATAAAAAGGAAATATTTATAAAGTTTAAAAAATGAATTTAAAACGAAAATATATGTATATAAAATATTATTTTATTAAAAAGGAAAATTCACAAATTGTAATATTACATTTAAAAAATATTTTTAAATAACATAAAATATACTTTTAAAGTAATAAAATACTTTCTTTATATCTATATTTTCTTAGATGAAATATATATATTTTTATATAATGTGATAAAAAAACTTTCACATAAATAACTTTGATAATAGAAAAATAAATATTGTTTCTTTTCAAACATAATTTAAAACAACAGAAAAATATATTTTCAAAGTAATAGAAATATACTTTTATATATTTATCTATTTTCTTAGAAGATTACATAAGATAATTAAGTAATATAAACTGATATATGTTTAATTATTGAAATGTTTTATTTTTTTCTTATATTTAGTTGACTGTAGTAAATTATATTTACATATTTGATAAAACAATCAACCTAAATTCAAATAAGAAATTTAATATAAAAATTAGTGTTTCAAAATTTTTTTTTAAATAAATATATTTAAAATAAAAAAATATAGTTGAATTCAGAGAAATAAATGCAATCCAATATACACAACTAATATATAAATCGACTGTAAAGGCAAAAAACATATCAAATATAACATATCTAAAATTATGTGTCTAATTAAAGTAATATAATATTAATAAGTAAATAGTGCTAATTTAATATTAAAATAAATAGCAATTAATTATTATAGTATATTTGTTTATAAATATTTATATCTGTGTATGAGCACGGGAAAATCACCTAGTATTATATATATATATATATATATATATATATATATATATATATTTGTGATTCGTCCTGATCTTTTTTTCTGGTTTAAGTGTTTTCCCTAATTTTGCCCTTAATTAGCGATTTAGCACTATTGCAATCGCTGCAGACGCGTATATTATACATATGGCAAACACAGAAAAATACAGGGTAGACGATCTATTTACCCACGAGAACTATCATATAGTATCAGATCCCCACCGAACTATGACCTCATACTAGATTCCCTCAAATTGAAAATTGCAAACTTATTTCTCCCCGAATGAATACTTCAAAACCTAATTACCCACAAACAATGGTTTTAATTGGTTTTAGTTGGTTTATTATTAACCAAACATCTTAAAACCAAGTAAACCAAATCAAAATCCAATTAAATTCCCACCTGAATCACTGTAAACATTTATATGTATTAATTCTAATGGATTTATTTTAGAACAGAAGAAGATTTTGTTTTATTTAATTGAATTTTGGTTTGGTTTACTTGATTTTAAGATGTATGGTTAAGAATAAACCAATTAAAACCATCGTCTGTGGGTAATTAAGTTTTGAAGTATTGATTCGGGAAGAAATAAGTTTGCAATTTTTAATTCAGGGAGAAATAGGTTTGCAATTTTCAATTCGTGGAGATCTAGCATGAGGTCATAGTTCGGTGGAGATCTGATGCTATATGATAGTTCTCATGGGTAAATAGATCGTCTACCCAAAGATACATTAGCTAAAGTTGTACAAATCCATAGAGCTCAGAATTCATGAGAAAATCCTGCGTATGAGAAAATCTTGCATCAGTTTTATAATTGTACATCATTTATACTAGTGATAGGGCATGGTAGGTTTAACATTTGGTTGACAAAAAAAAGGCATTTCTCGATCAATTAAATAATTGTTTAATCGCAGCTTTAAATAACTGTACGGAACCGGGAAAAGCCGTAGAAGTAGGAATCGTTTAATTGCGCATGCAATCCATATATATAATGTTGGCTTTAAGAATGATTAAGGGACACCATATTTGGAAACAGCTCAATATATAGTTGTAAAGCCTTTCTGACATACAACTACTTCCATTACCATGCATGAGTCATTTTATTTACTTTATAGTAGTGCATGTTTATATAAACTTATGTTTGTAAATGATATCTGGATGGCTATTTAAGTCATTTTCTCTGCCTCATGTTCAGTAACGGCTGTGGGCATAAGTCATGAAAGCATAAGATTAGGGGATCTCCAATGATACTCTAAAATAGTACAATTCTATTATAAAGTTAGATTTGCTCCACTGGTTTACTCTATAATAGAGTTAACACTGTAATAGAGTGAAATATAGATGAATGTTGTTTTTTTACTCCAAATATA